TCTTAAGTGGATACATGCATTATTAGCTGAGTTGTGAACTTTTTGTTTACAAATTTACAATTGAGTATGCAAATGTATTAGCCGTGTAAAAACGAATATAAATACAAATTCTGAAGTGGATACATGTATTATTAGCTGAGCTCTGAACTTTTTGTCTACAGATTTACAATTGAGTATGCAAATGTATTAGCCATGTAAAAAATAATATAAGTACAATTTATGCCGTGGATACATGCATTATTAGCTGAGTTGTGAACTTTTTGTTTACAAATTTACAATTGAGTATGCAAATGTATTAGCCATGTAAAAACTATTATAAATACAAATTCTGAAGTGGATACAGACATTATTAGCTGAGCTGTGAACTTTTTGTTTTCAAATTTACAATTGAGTATGCAAATGTATTAGCCGTGTAAAAACTATTATAAATACAAATTCTGAAGTGGATATATGCATTATTATCTGAGTTGTGAACTTTTTGTTTACAAATTTACAATTGAGTATGCAAATGTATTAGCCGTGTTAAAACTTATATAAATACAAATTCTGAAGTCGATACAGGCATTATTAGCTGAGCTGTGAACTTTTTGTTTACAAATTTACAATTGAGTATGCAAATGTATTAGCCGTGTAAAAACGAATATAAATACAAATTCTGAAGTCGATACAGGCATTATTAGCTGAGTTGTGAACTTTTTGTTTACAAATTTACAATTGAGTATGCAAATGTATTAGCCATGTAAAAAATAATATAAGTACAATTTATGCCGTGCATTATTAGCTGAGTTGTGAACTTTTTGTTTACAAATTTCATTATTAGCTGAGATGTGAACTTTTGGTTTACAAATTTACAATTGAGTATGCAAATGTATTAGCCGTGTAAAAACTAATATAAATACAAATTTTGAAGTGAATGCATTATTAGCTGAGTTGTGAAATTTTTGTTTACAAATTTACAATTGAGTATGCAAATGTATTAGCCTTGTAAAAACTAATATAATTACAAATTCTGAAGTGGATTCAGGCATTGTGGAGATCTGTATCGGCAGCGGAGAGCGATGGCAGAGATGAGAGCGACGCGCTCTCTCACAAGAAGTAGAGAAATGCATTACTGTACACGCAACGCAAATAGATTATGTTAGTTGACCTGACAACGCTGGCAGTGCCGGTGCTAATAAAATAGCGAATCGAAGATCACGCGTGTGCCTTGTTATTTGGACTTGGGGAAACGGGCATTGTTACACTGGCGACGAGGAGAAAAACTGGACCTTAAATATTTACCAAGTATTGTATAAATACTACCAGCCCAATTGAAAAAAAAAGAAGTAAAGAAATAACGAAAAACTAACGCGTGTCTCGCCGTTTTCGCAAGTCGACAATAAAGCGCCGTTATACTCGCATACGTAGGAACGGACATACATACATATGCGTGTAAGAGGTAAAGAGAGAAAAAGGTGGACAGCACAAGCCGATTAAATTCCGGCGGCTGCACTAAGAGAATCTGTTCCTAAGAGAACGAGATCGAAATAAACGTGAAGGCAAAGTGTAACTTTTGCATTAAGAGAATCTGTTCCAAATGGAATGAGATTAAGCAGTGTCAGCTGATTAAATTCCGGCTGCTGCATTAAGGGAGTCGGTTCCAAAGGGAATGCGATCCGAAGAAAAAGAACAGCGGTAGCTGATTTAATTCCGGCTGTTGCATTTAAAGAGTCGGTTCCAAAGATCGATAAAATAAAATAAAATAAAAAATAATAATAAAAAAAAATAATAATAATAAATAAAAAAAAAAACAAACTGGGAGATTGTTAATGGCCATTTTATTTTAATTATCTTTCAGTTTAAACTAAACATGACCGAGTTAAAACCATTCCTGTGCCAGGGAATGGATAAAGCGCTATGGCGAACAGAATGGGAGGCGTGGTTGCGCGCGTTTAATATATATATTGACACGGAGGAGATCACATCCGTATGCAAGAAAAGAAATAAGCTTCTCCACCTGGGCGGACCACAACTCCAGGCCGTAGTCTACAGCATTCCGGGAGCATTAATTCCTTTTGACGAGAATGAGAAAAATGATGTCTTAACACCTCTCATTACCAAATTGAACGAGTATTTTTCACCACAGCGCAACTCGTCTTTTGAGAGACATTTGTTTCGGTCGATGACCCCAATAGAGGGAGAATGTTTCACAGAGTTTTTGATGAGGCTTCGCCGCCAAATAGTAAAATGTTCATTTGGAGAGACTAAAGAACAGATAGAGGATATCTGCCTAAAAGATAGGATCATGGATGTCTGGGCTCCGTTGGAGCTAAAAAAGAAACTACTGGAAAATGAACTTACTTTGGAGGAGGTCATAAAAGCATGTAGTGTCGACGAACAAGTTAATAAACAAACGCAGTCGATGATCCCGCAGGCGAATGCAAATAGCATCAACAAAATAGTTCAGCGTAGCGCGGGTTCCGAATGTGGCAGATGTGGTCAAAAAGGGCACCAAGAGAATAGCTTGGACTGCCCAGCCAGAAACGCGAAATGCAGGAAGTGCGAAAGGTTTGGACATTTTTATCGGAAATGCCGTACAAGGAAACGGAAACCATATGATAAATGGGAAGGACCCGATAGAAAGCGACGACAATATGATCATTCTACAATCAAGTCCATATCCAGTGGTTCTAAAAATTACCCAGATAGCCCAAAAGACGCGGATCTATTTAGAGTCGACCATGGATCATCACGAGAAGAAGAACTTCCATGTAAAATAGGTGGCGATACAATCACTATGATAATTGATTCGGGATCGAAGTACAATCTGATAAGTCAGTCGGATTGGCGACAATTGTGTGAGAAAAGGGCAGTGATGTTTAACTCGCGCGCAGAATCAGCCAACCAGTTTCGCGCATATGCTTCTGATCATCTGCTTAAAGTACTACAAGTTTTTGAAGCCCCGATTTCGGTGCTAAAAGACCCTGAACTGATTGCTACTTTTTACGTCATTGAAAATAGTAGACAATCGCTGTTGGGACGTGACACAGCAACCAAACTCAAGGTTCTAAGACTGGGCTTAGACGTACATCGAGTTGAAAAAGCCGAGCCTTTTCCCAAATGGCATAATGTGTCGGTCAAGCTGTCCATTGACAAGTCAATAGTCCCAGTGAAGCAACCAATGAGACGAGTGCCAACAGCGTTGGAAAGTAAAATCACCGATAAATTGGAGGAAGCCTTAAGTTTGGATATCATCGAACCAGTATTGGGCCCGAGCGCTTGGATATCGCCAATTGTGATTGCATTTAAGGACGACGGGGATATCCGGGTATGTCTGGACATGAGACGCGCAAACAAAGCAATACAACGAGAGAACTACCCGTTGCCAACGTTCGAAACGTTTATGACCAAGCTGAAAGGTGCCAAATATTTTTCGCGACTCGATCTAAAAAGCGCTTACCATCAACTAGAGCTGACCGAATCCAGCCGAGAAATTACTACCTTCATAACACACCGCGGCCTATTTCGATATAAGCGGCTGATGTTTGGCGTGAACTCAGCTCCAGAAATATTTCAACGGCTAATGGAGGAAATGTTGGCTCCTTGTCAGAATTCTTTAAATTACATCGATGACGTGATAATATTTGGCAGCAATATTGAGGAACATGACAAATCACTCGCAAAGGTTAAGGAAATATTTCAAGCCAATAACGTAGCACTAAATGAGAAGAAATGCGCATTTCGAGTACAGAAATTGAAATTTCTAGGCCACATCCTCTCGGACAAGGGGATCGAAGTTGACCCCGAGAAAGTGAAGGTGATTACATCATTCAGAGCGCCCAAAAATAAAGAAGAGGTACGCAGCTTTCTCGGCTTAGTAACATATATTGGCAAATTTGTATCTGATCTGGCGGATAACACAGAGCCTCTGAGAAAATTACTGAAAAGCCATGAAACGTTCTGTTGGGGCCAACCACAGGAAGAAGCATTCCAGAATCTCAAAGTTAAGATTTCGGCAGTTCCAATGCTGTCATACTTTAACCTGCAGGATAAAACGTGTTTGATCGCAGATGCCAGCCCAGTGGCCTTGGGAGCAGTGTTGGTGCAATTTGATAAATCGAATACTGCACGCATAATATCGTTTGCCAGCAAGAGTTTGTCATCGGTGGAAAGAAAATATTCACAAACGGAAAAAGAAAGCCTGGCATTGGTGTGGGCTGTGGAGAAATTTTATTATTATTTAGCGGGACTACAGTTTGACCTTATAACTGACCACAAGCCACTGGAAACGATCTTTAAACCAACTTCGCGACCTCCGGCCAGGATTGAAAGGTGGTTGTTGCGATTACAATCTTACCGGTTCCGCGTAGTATATAAGGCAGGAAAGGAAAATATTGCCGACTCACTATCAAGACTTTGCGAAGTAACCGATACCGACCCTTACGACTGGGCTGGTGAGGAACACATATTTCGCGTGGTGTCAACCTCAGTTCCTAAATCGCTCTCCATATCGAAGGTCACGGAGATGAGCATACAGGATGAGGAAATAATAGACGTGATGACATGCCTTGGCCAGGATTCATGGAACTCAAATATGTCTAGCCCGTACTATCCATTTCGTTTGGAACTCTCGATTGTGGGAAATATCCTATTGCGAGGCACAAGACTAGTAATTCCCCAGAAGTTACGTGAACCAGTACTGGACCTCGCCCATGAAGGGCATCCCGGGATAAGCGCCATGAAACGGAGGCTTCGTTCCAAAGTTTGGTGGCCGTGTATGGACAAAGACGCAGAACAGTATGTTAAGGAGTGCCGCGATTGCCTTTTTGGTATCAATGCCATCGCATCCGGCCCCAATGAAAAGGCATCCGTTCCCGAATGGACCCTGGAGATGCTTAGCTACCGATCTTTTGGGCCCTTTACCAAATGGTGAGAATATACTTGTACTAATCGACTATTACTCCCGATATATAGAGTTCAAACTCATCAAGTCGATATCATCGAAAACCATTATTGAGGAGATGGAAGAGATCTTTTCCAGATTGGGGTTCCCGGAGACCTTAACGACTGATAATGGGAGGCAATTTGTCAGCAGCGAGTTTAAGAGTTTTTGTGAAACCAGCGGCATTCGGCTAATGCCTACACCGCCATACTGGCCGCAGGCCAACGGCGAAGTCGAAAACATGAACAGGTCTCTGGTGAAACGCCTAAAGATAGCTCATGCCAATAACGACAATTACAAGAAAGAGATCCAAAAATTTGTATTAATGTATAACGTCACTCCACACGGGACCACGGGCGCACCACCAACAGAGCTAATGTTCAACAGGGTGATAAGGGACAAAATTCCTGGCATACAGGATCTTGTTGGCGAAACGGCTGATTCAGAAGAGAAAGACAGGGACGTCTGGAAGAAAGAGAAAGGGAGAGAGTTAGCAGACAGCGCTAGGAAAGCGGGAGCGATCGATATAAAAGTGGGTGACAAAGTTCTCCTTAAAAACGTGGTATTCCCGCATAAGCTGACGCCAACATTCGATACGACCACATATGAAGTAACTAACCGAGAGGGAAATGTTGTTCAAATTTCTGGTGGTGGCAAGTCGTACACCAGGAATGTAAGCCATTTGAAAAAGATCATCGGGGCAGACTCATCGAAGTCGTCTGATTCGGTGAGCCCCAATGTTGGGATACCTCCTTCACCTATTTCGTTACAGTCGGTTGCCGAAACTCTGACGCCACAGGAAACTCCGGCAACAAAGGACCACCATGACCCGAAGGACAACCTGAAGCTCCGTCTAGAGAAAAAAGAAGGGGGTGTGGAGATCTGTATCGGCAGCGGAGAGCGATGGCAGAGATGAGAGCGACGCGCTCTCTCACAAGAAGTAGAGAAATGCATTACTGTACACGCAACGCAAATAGATTATGTTAGTTGACCTGACAACGCTGGCAGTGCCGGTGCTAATAAAATAGCGAATCGAAGATCACGCGTGTGCCTTGTTATTTGGACTTGGGGAAACGGGCATTGTTACAGGCATTATTAGCTGAGTTGTGAAATTTTTGTTTACAATTTTACAATTGAGCATGCAAATGTATTAGCCATGTAAAAACTAATATAATTACAAATTCTGAAGTGGATACATGCATTATTAGCTGAGTTGTGAACTTTTTGTTTACAAATTTACAATTGAGTATGCAAATGTATTAGCCGTGTAAAAACTTATATAAATACAAATTCTGAAGTCGATACAGGCATTATTAGCTGAGTTGTGAAATTTTTGTTTACAAATTTACAATTGAGTATGCAAATGTATTAGCCTTGTAAAAACTAATATAATTACAAATTCTGAAGTGGATTCAGGCATTATTAGCTGAGTTGTGAAATTTTTGTTTACAAATTTACACCTGAGTATGCAAATGTATTAGCCATGTAAAAACTAATATAATTACAAATTCTGAAGTGGATACATGCATTATTAGCTGAGTTGTGAACTTTTTGTTTACAAATTTACAATTGAGTATGCAAATGTATTAGCCGTGTAAAAACTTATATAAATACAAATTCTGAAGTCGATACAGGCATTATTAGCTGAGCTGTGAACTTTTTGTTTACAAATTTACAATTGAGTATGCAAATGTATTAGCCGTGTAAAAACGAATATAAATACAAATTCTGAAGTGGATATATGCATTATTATCTGAGTTGTGAACTTCTTGTCTACAGATTTACAATTATTAGCTGAGTTGTGAACTTTTTGTTTACAAATTTCAATATTAGCTGAGATGTGAACTTTTTGTTTACAATTTTTACAATTGAGTATGCAAATGTATTAACCGTGTAAAAACTAATATAAATACAAATTCTGAAGTGGATTCAGGCATTATTAGCTGAGTTGTGAAATTTTTGTTTACAAATTTACACCTGAGTATGCAAATGTATTAGCCATGTAAAAACTAATATAATTACAAATTCTGAAGTGGATACATGCATTATTAGCTGAGTTGTGAACTTTTTGTTTACAAATTTACAATTGAGTATGCAAATGTATTAGCCGTGTAAAAACTTATATAAATACAAATTCTGAAGTCGATACAGGCATTATTAGCTGAGCTGTGAACTTTTTGTTTACAAATTTACAATTGAGTATGCAAATGTATTAGCCGTGTAAAAACGAATATAAATACAAATTCTGAAGTGGATATATGCATTATTATCTGAGTTGTGAACTTCTTGTCTACAGATTTACAATTGAGTAATTTAAATGTATTAGCCGTGTAAAAAACTTATATAAATACAAATTCTGAAGTCGATACAGGCATTATTAGCTGAGTTGTGAACTTTTTGTTTACAAATTTACAATTGAGTATGCAAATGTATTAGCCATGTAAAAAATAATATAAGTACAATTTATGCCGTGCATTATTAGCTGAGTTGTGAACTTTTTGTTTACAAATTTCATTATTAGCTGAGATGTGAACTTTTGGTTTACAAATTTACAATTGAGTATGCAAATGTATTAGCCGTGTAAAAACTAATATAAATACTAATTCTGAAGTGGATACAGGCATTATTAGCTGTGTTATGAACTTTTTGTTTACAAATTTACAATTGAGTATGCAAATGTATTAGCCTTGTAAAAACTAATATAAATACAAATTCTGAAGTGGATACATGCATTATTAGCTGAGTTGTATACTTTTTGTTTACAAATTTACAATTGAGTATGCAAATGTATTAGCCATGTAAAAACTAATATAATTACAAATTCTGAAGTGGATATATGCACTATTATCTGGGATATGTGCACTATTATCTGAGTTGTGAACTTTTTGTTTACAAATTTACAATGGAGTATGCAAATGTATTAGCCTTGTAAAAACGAATATAAATACAAATTCTGAAGTGGATACATGCATTATTAGCTAAGCTGTGAACTTTTTGTCTACAGATTTACAATTGAGTAATTCAAATGTATTAGCCATGTTAAAACTAATATAAATACAAATTCTGAAGTGTATATATGCATTATTATCTGAGTTGTGAAATTTTGTTTACAAATTTCATTATTAGCTGAGATGTGAACTTTTTGTTTACAAATTTACAATTGAGTATGCAAATGTATAAGCCGTGTAAAAACTAATATAAGTACAAATTCTGAAGTGGATACAGGAATTATTAGCTGCGCTATGAACTTTTTGTTTACAAATTTACAATTGAGTATGCAAATGTATTAGCCGTGTAAAAACGAATATAAATACAAATTCTGAAGTGGATACATGTATTATTAGCTGAGCTGTGAACTTTTTGTCTACAGATTTACAATTGAGTATGCAAATGTATTAGCCATGTAAAAAATAATATAAGTACAATTTATGCCGTGGATACATGCATTATTAGCTGAGTTGTGAACTTTTTGTTTACAAATTTCAATATTAGCTGAGATGTGAACTTTTTGTTTACAATTTTTACAATTGAGTATGCAAATGTATTAACCGTGTAAAAACTAATATAAATACAAATTCTGAAGTGGATTCAGGCATTATTAGCTGAGCTGTGAAATTTTTGTTTTTAAATTTACAATTGAGTATGCAAATGTATTAGCCGTGTAAAAACGAATATAAATTCAAATTCTGAAGTGTATATATGCATTATTATCTGAGTTGTGAACTTTTTGTTTACAAATTTACAATTGAGTATGCAAATGTATTAGCCATGTAAAAACTAATATAATTACAAATTCTGAAGTGGATATATGCACTATTATCTGGGATATATGCACTATTATCTGAGTTGTGAACTTTTTGTTTACAAATTTACAATGGAGTATGCAAATGTATTAGCCTTGTAAAAACGAATATAAATACAAATTCTGAAGTGGATATAAGCATTATTAGCTGAGCTGTGAACTTCTTGTCTACAGATTTACAATTGAGTAATTCAAATGTATTAGCCATGTAAAAACTAATTTAAATACAAATTCTGAAGTGGATATATGCATTATTATCTGCGTTGTGAAATTTTGTTTACAAATTTCATTATTAGCTGAGATGTGAACTTTTTGTTTACAAATTTACAATTGAGTATGCAAATGTATAAGCCGTGTAAAAACTAATATAAGTACAAATTCTGAAGTGGATACAGGCATTATTAGCTGCGCTGTGAACTTTTTGTTTACAAATTTACAATTGAGTATGGAAATGTATTAGCCGTGTAAAAACTAATATAATAGTAATTCTGTAGTGGATACAGGCATTACTAGCTGAGTTGTGAAATTTTTGTTTACAAATTTACAATTGAGTATGCAAATGTATTAGCCGTGTAAAAGCTTATAAATACAAATTCTGAAGTCGATACAGGCATTATTAGCTGAGCTGTGAACTTTTTGTTTACAAATTTACAATTGAGTATGCAAATGTATTAGCCGTGTAAAAACGAATATAAATACAAATTCTGAAGTGGATACAGGCATTATTAGCTGAGCTGTGAACTTTTTGTTAACAAATTTACAATTGAGTAAGCAAATGTATTAGCCGTGTAAAAACGAATATAAATACAAATTCTGCCGTGGATACATGCATTATTAGCGGAGTTGTGAACTTTTTGTTTACAAATTTACAATTGAGTATGCAAATGTATTAGCCATGTAAAAACTAATATAAATACAAATTCCGAAGTGGATACAGGCATTATTAGCTGAGTTGTGAACTTTTTGTTTACAAATTTACAATTGAGTATGCAAATGTATTAGCCTTGTAAAAACTAATACAAAAACAAATTCTGCCGTGGATACATGCATTATTAGCGGAGTTGAGAACATTTTGTTTACAAATTTACAATTGAGTATGCAGATGTATTAGCCTTGTAAAAACTAATATAAATACAAATTCTGAAGTGGATACAGGCATTATTAGCTGAGTTGTGAACTTTTTGTTTACAAATTTACAATTGAGTATGCAAATGTATTAGCCTTGTAAAAACTAATATAAGTACAAATTCTGCCGTGGATACATGCATTTTTACCTGAGTTGTGAACTTTTTGTTTACAAATTACATTATTAGCTGAGATGTGAACTTTTTGTTTACAAATTTACAATTGAGTATGCAAATGTATTAGCCATGTAAAAACTAATATGAATACAAATTCTGAAGTGAATGCATTATTAGCTGAGTTGTGAATTTTTTGTTTACAAATTTACAATTGAGTATGCAAATGTATTAGCCTTGTAAAAACTAATATAAATAAAAGTTCTGCCTTGGATACATGCATTATTAGCGGAGTTGTGAACTTTTTGTTTACAAATTCACAATTGAGTATGCAAATGTATTAGCCGTGTAAAAACTATACACATTCTTAAGTGGATACATGCATTATTAGCTGAGTTGTGAACTTTTTGTTTACAAATTTACAATTGAGTATGCAAATGTATTAGCCGTGTAAAAACGAATATAAATACAAATTCTGAAGTGGATACATGTATTATTAGCTGAGCTCTGAACTTTTTGTCTACAGATTTACAATTGAGTATGCAAATGTATTAGCCATGTAAAAAATAATATAAGTACAATTTATGCCGTGGATACATGCATTATTAGCTGAGTTGTGAACTTTTTGTTTACAAATTTACAATTGAGTATGCAAATGTATTAGCCATGTAAAAACTATTATAAATACAAATTCTGAAGTGGATACAGACATTATTAGCTGAGCTGTGAACTTTTTGTTTTCAAATTTACAATTGAGTATGCAAATGTATTCGCCGTGTAAAAACTATTATAAATACAAATTCTGAAGTGGATATATGCATTATTATCTGAGTTGTGAACTTTTTGTTTACAAATTTACAATTGAGTATGCAAATG